TTTCTCCTCTACTCTCCTTGTCATCTCTCCCCTTCCTAATTTCCTTTTTTTACCTCTCTCTCCTCATTTAATCTCCTTATCCTCCTCTCCTTGTTTCCTCTCATCTGTCCTTAACCTCCATACTGCCACTTGTTATTCCTCCTTTCCTCTTTTCCTCTCTGCTCTCCTCCTCCTGTTCCTTTGCTCTTCAACCTCCTTTCCTCCTCTCCTTCACAACTGTCTGTCACTCCTGGTGATTAACCTTATTTGGTCTCCGATACAAGAACGAGAGATAGTGGAAAAAGAAAGAGAGAGAGAGAGATGTACTGAGCGTGTTTCCAGAATAAAGACAGCGATCCGCTCTCAGATAAAATGAAAATCTCATGGACCTCAGTCGCCAGCTTATCTCTGTGTGTGTGTGTGTGTGTGTGTGTGTGTGTGTGTGTGTGTGTGTGTGTGTGTGTGTGTGTGTGTGTGTGTGTGTATTGCTGAATATTGTCTATGTGCTTGCGTGAGTGTGTGTTAACACGGCTTTTCAGGGTTACTTCCTCTAAACAGACCGCTACGGTATCTATCTCTATCTGGCATGCTTTCACCTTGTATTTACCACACACACACACACAGTTGTGTTTACACCACTTCAGAGGACATTACATTGACTTACATTCATTTCCTTGACATTTCCCTAACCTTTAACCCTAAAATGTAATAATTTATGTTGTTATTTTATGATTTTACATGACGTCCCCAAAAGGAAGGTGAGTCCCCACAATGGGACCGTGTAAACCAGTGGTTCTCAAACTTTTTTGGCGTGCCCCCTTTCATAAGCCACGCTCCACCATCCCGCATTTTTTATCAATCATTACCAATGATAGGGGAAGTAACTAATAAAAAAAGGAATCCAAGTTGAATTTAAGTGGAATAAATCCCAATAACATCAGCAATATTCATTCCTTTAACTTAGTTTCACTCCATATTTTTCCACTTGTCATTCACACCCCACCTGCAGTGGCTCTACGCCCCTATACAGTTTGAGAGCCACTGCCTTAAACCGAGTCTTCAGCCTAAAATGTAATGATGGATTCGTGTTGGGTCTCCAAAAGGAAGGCAAGTCCCCACAATGTGACTGTGTGAATAGATTTATGTCCCCACAACATGAGTATACATGTCAACACACACACACACACACATCGCAGCGAGGTGCATGTACACACATAAACTGCCTGCACACAAGCAGATGGTGACATTCTGACAAACACCATCAAAAACAGCTTGTGTGTGAGTATGTGTCAGCATAGCAAACACACACACAGACACACACACACACACTTTCTCACGTATCTTTACCTAATTAACTGACAGATTTGTTCACGTAACCTCATAGCCAGATGATATTTGGGCTTTATGTAACCTCCTTTTCTTGTCTGTGTACCTGTTTATGTCTGCACATGTTGCCTGTTTTCATGCTGTGTGTGTGTGTTTGTACTTGTTTATATGGGAAGATTAGCAGGTCAAACCTCGGCCGTGCGAGGGTGAAGTCGGGGACAAACGAGAGAGAGAGAGAGAGAGAGAGAGAGAGAGAGAGAGATGAATACAGAAGTGAAAGGACGGACTGGAGGGAGGAAAGGATGGGAGGGAAAGGGGGAGGGAGGGATGGAGGAAGAGATCAGGAAGTCCAAATCAGCCATTCGTCTTGTATTCTCCCTCTAAAGCCAGATTCAGAGGAAACACCAGTTTTATTAACTTTTAAGTGAACGTAGAAAATATTTAGGACACTTCCTGTTTTCATGAATAGCTCTGATGAGGTGAAATCAGGTGAAAGCCATGACCTCTTTACTCATTCGATTGTTGTAAATGTATGTGGTCCGATTCATTAATTTAGTCCCTCAGCTTCAAGTTTAATCTTCAATCTTAAATCATTAGTTGTTACTCCACTATGTTCAACCTTTTTTATAACTAGTCTGTTGCCCTGCAGCATGTCTTAAAAATGAATCTGAATTTCCCCAAAATTCTGCACATATGATTCTTTGAGAAAGAACTGGTTTAAAGTTAGAATCCAGAACGTTTTCACAACTGTGTGTTTTCTTATAATAACCGAGTTAAACACCTGATTATGTTTGGAAAATCTTGTTTCGGCTGACCTCCTCTCCTCGCTGCAGTGCTGTAGAAGTGTACTCCAGGGTGTGTCAGTGCACAACAAAGCCCACTTCTTATCACACCCATCAGTGATGTTGGATATTTGTTGCTTCTCAGTCAGGTTTTCATGAAATAATTTAATTTTAACCCTGTGAGATTGCATCCACAGTTCTATTGTACCCATATTTAACAATGTATGCCAAAAGACAGTTTATAAAAACTTGGTTTCTTTGTATTCAAATCCAGTCCTTTTTACTTCTATAAAACAAAATGTGATGCTTGCATGTCAATAATATCAATAATATCATAACATTAACCCGTCCATCAATCTTTAACTTTGGCAATACAGAGCAAACATTCATTAGTCAGATAGCAACAGCATAGCTATCTATCAGAGTTTTTTCTGAAAGTCCGGGTCATACTGACAACTGTACAAAGACACAGCATGAATCTCACATTTGATATAGAAAATATTGTCAACTGCTAATGTACCTGCCGCGAGCATGAAACCGATCAGGTCTTATTGGCTACTGCGACAAGTCCCTCTCGATAAATATGCGAAAGCAAAAAGCACGCCGATTTCCGTTTAACTTAACTTGAAGGATGTGGAGGTGTGAGTGCTACCAACAAATACCAGTCTCCAATACTTTTTATTTATTTATGTGGTTGTGTGTTGAGCAGCTGAATGTCCTGCAGGTCAGGCCGCAGTCAGCTGGTCAGTAGGACAAACATTCAGGCGTTGTGCTGTTCAGTGAGCAGTAGTGCAATCCAGAAGGGTCAAAATTAGAGGCAAAATTTCTTCACAACCCACGTAAAAAAAAAAAAAACACCTGAATTCAACCTTATTTTCTCTCTTTCATCCCCCTGAATCCCATCATTACTCTCCAAACTTTGAAAGTGTGTCACCCACGTCTTCTGTCCACCTTTTACTCCTTCTTGTTTGCCTGATAGCGCACCTCCATCGCCCAACACTCGCTATCTATCCATCTTCATCTGCCCTTCCTTTACCCCTTCTCTCTGCTGTTATCCTTTTCTCTCCATCTGTGTCTCTTTCCATCTTTACTCTCTCATTTTCTCCCCCCCCACATGTGGTTTTGCTCTCCATCTCTCTGTACTCCTTCCCTCCCTCTCCTCTCCTCTTCTCTCATCCCTCGCTCACATATGGTTTCTCTCTCCGGATCTGTGTGTGTTTGGTGTTACCCAGAGTTCACTGGGGCTCCCCGCTCATATATGTGAGTGTGTGTGTGTTCTACAGACGGAGATAGAGAGACAGAGTGTGTGTGTGTGTGTGTGTGTGTGTGTGTGTGTGTGTGTGTGTGTGTGTGTGTCTGCAGGCTTACGGGTTTGCCTGCCTGGGCCTGTTTGTGTGTGTGTGTGTGTGAGGTAGAGTTCAGCAGGGCAGCAGCAGGTTATGCAACAGTTTCTAATGTGGGTCATTTAGAGGAAGAGTTCAGCCCCCCTTTCGTTCAATCTTACTCGCCTTTTCTCCCTCCCTCCCTCCTTCTTTCAACCCTTCGCTCTAGTCTCTCTCTCTCTCTCTCTCTCTCTCTCTCTCTCTTCTATTGCATATTTTGTTTATTTGCCTAAATATGAATGTGTCCAGTATACAAACTGAGCAGTTCAGATTTAAGGAGCATTTTGATGAAGTTTCTTCCATATTCCATTATTTATTAAACAGGTCAGACGTTTATTTAGTAACAATTGATTAATATGAAAGCAGGGGCGTGTCCAGACTTTTTAGACTGGGATGGCACAAGAGGGGCACTGACTTATGCGGGGGTGGCCAATTAATCCAATTTCAGTACTGTTTAGGGACCCCAGTACGCAGAAATATTTAGATACACTAGGTAAAAAAAAACACAAAAAAACTGCATGGGATTAGCATAAAGTGGGCTTTCTGCAAAGTGGAGACTCGTGGGCACCCATAACACCAATTTTCATTAAAATATCTGGAGGTCAGAGGTCAAAGGATCCCTCTGAAAATGGACTAATGTACCATGGATTGTTGTGAGATATTTCAGATACTGCTGGAATGATAAGTGGACAAAGTTCAAGTAAAGTTTTCAAAAACAGGCACTTTGAATTCCTGGAAATCTAGCCAGAAAAAAAAAGCCATCACAAATTTCAAATGAAGCAGCCTTTCTACCTAACTGATAATCACTTGGGTAACACTTTGAAATGATCTCACTGTGATGTGTCCAACCCCAACATCCTGTTTTATCTGGAATTACATCATATTAGGTAGTGGCAAGATCATTTCAAGGTGTGTTTAAAGTTATCTGGAGAGCATCAGGATTGCAAAAAAAAAAAAAGGGTGCAAGGAGAAGAAGAAATTAGTGTATTTAGGTGTATTTTTCAACTTTACCTTTATTCACAAAGAAATATGCAAAAGAAAACACAACCTAAATTATAAAACAAGTTAGAGAGCAACTTTATTTTTAACCAGAAGAATATTTGGTTGGTTTCAGCTTCACAATATGAAATTGTTAGTTTTTTTTTTAAGGTTTTATATCATAATAAAAACAGTATTTTTGGCTGCTGATCAGTTAAATAGCAATCTTAAGACAAACCTTCAGGTCTGGAAACATGATTTTATCTTGGATTTAATACATTTTACTAATCTCATTCGAACTGCCAGACTCGGTCACAGTATTTAAGGTTTCCTACCATTTCTTTTAAAGCGTCGAAGCTGCTACAAGTTCATATTTCCCTGCTTTAAAACCGGCCACCAAATCTTACACAGGTGACGTGTTAGCGTGGGATCTGATCTGCTGGATGACATTGGTGTTTATTTTCTCAAAGCTTAAAGGGGAAAAAAAACTGAGGGTATTTTTGTGAGTCAATACCTTTTTGTTCATCTCTGCCTCTCTGTCTTTTTGTTCTAGTTACTGGACCTGTTCACGCAGTGGGATTGGTCGACCTACCTGGCTGACTACGGCAAACCCACCTGCAAATACCTGAGAGTCAACCCACACACTGCACTGGCCCTGCTAGAGAAGTGAGCAGTCATTCACTCATCTACTGTTTGTCACTCGTTCGTCATTCTGGTGCATCTCTTCCTCGATTCTTTATTTCCTTCTTTGAATCCATTGACAAAACCATAATCTTCAGCAATTTTGATAATCGATAAACACGTATTGTCAAACAAAATTTGCGGCCCGACATCGAAGCACCGGTTGATCTTCGAGAACTCCACCCACCTTTACCTCCACCTCAACCGCTCTTTTCTGTCCCCTGTCTGTCTTCTCTGCCATGTTATGACAGGTTATTTAAGCCGTGAGTATCGTCTCTGTTGTGTGGGAGTAATGTTGGATTCTGGCATGTTGTACTTATTAGATGACTAATGAAGCATGAATATACAAGTGGATATGTAAAGCGAGGGTGTGTGTAGTATCACTTCAGGGATTTACATGGTTAAACGCACGCACAACCTCTCTCACAAATAAAAAAACAAAAGACTCGTGTCATAATAATACTGATGTTTATCTCTGTGGCCGTTAGTGATGAACAACAACACCCACATCATGACTATGTTTACCATCAGTTTCACGAGATAGCGTGGAAAACCACACACATACACAACCTGCATTCACACAAACAGTTGTAATCTGAGTTTGGGGATTACGCCCTGCTTAGGTTCTCACCCAGATACATCCTCAGACACACACACAGTCCTGTGATCCATTGTTCAGTACAGCGCGGTTGACCTTCCTTAATCAGGGTCAGCATTTTCTCTCCCGAGCTCCACACAAGGCCCAGGCCTGGTGGTCCGTCTGTGCCCAGGAGGAAGCACCCTGCTGGGGCTTGTCTGCTCTGCTGGGCCCCTGAACTTCCTGGAGGTCCATAACAGTCCAGTGTTCTGCAACAAAACACACACGGAGACGCACTGTCTCATGTGACACTGAGCCACACACACACACACACACACACACACACACACACACACACACACCAAACTTCGAAATGTCTTTTTCTTCTTTAACAGGTGTCTGTACTGAGCATGCTCATACAATTGCGCACTTGTGTGTGTTTTCCTGAATGCATCAGATGAACTCCTGAGTGCATTTTGGTATACTTACAGCATTCAAACCCTGAGAATAGCAAATAAAATGTGAGATACTAAAACAGACCATTAACCTCATTTAATTTCTGCTTTCTTCTTTTCTTTCTCTTCCTTTATAACCCCATCATTTCCTCTCATCCTCCATCCATCCCTTCCTATTCTCCAGGATGAGGGAGACGAGCAGGAAGAACAACGTCTTCGCCCAGTTCAGGAAGACGGACAGAGACAGACAGAAACTCATCGACACCGTCATCAAACAGCTACGCAACCTCATCGCACAGCACCACACCTAGAGCGGGCCTCCTGATTGGATCAGCAGGCCTGGAGCCACCATCCAATTGGCTGATTTGAAACCATCCAGCCTGATGCCATAGCTGATCTATGCACCTTAACTCCACTGGACTTCCAACTACCACAGTCAGTTCCTATTGGTCGTATTTAACACCCATAGCAACCAGTCTAAACCTGCAACGAGCTCATCGGATAACAAGCTTCATCCATCTGCTATGTGACTGAAACTCTACTGGTTATCAGGCCTCAACGAAGCGATCCCATTGGTTACTTCCTGACGGAAGACTGAGAGGAACTCACTCTCAGTGAGAAACTCACTACATGCAAATGCTGAACTTAAATCTTTCAAAAAACAAACAGTCCGGTTCAAATTCAATCTGAGGGATCTAAACTGAGTACTCTTATTAGCTGGAGAGAAGGAAGTAAAGAAACTCTCTTATCTGATTGGTTCCTTCAAAATAATTTCCATCAAACAAACCTGAAGTCTTCCTAACAGCTGATATTTAAGGATAATTGGTGATATTCTGTATTTTTCTTATTGTCAACAAACCAAGTCTGTATTAATCCGCCCCTGAAAATAGTCCCCAACAAGCGCTCCATTTAAAAACTACAGCACGCGCTGTTTTAGGAAATTTAAAAATGAAACTAATCTAAAATTTGTGACCTATTTTTAAAGTCTTCAGTAGAAACCAACGCGTCATTCGTTTTGGTCTTTTTCTTGACAAAAAGACAAATTACAGCATATAACCAATCACATCCTTGATCTTATTCCTAAAGGCAACTTTAATGTGAGAGATTTCTGATCTGTGGAGAACAAGAGCATAAAAAGATTATAAAATTACACATTAACATTAAGGTGGCGCATGTCAGTGAAAATATGTGGTTATCAAGGAGCAAAGCCAGCTAGAACAGTGAGGAAAAGTACTTAAAACCACATTATAATTAATAAACAAATGCAGTGTAGTCAACTAAAGTGTGGGTCGTCTTCTTGTTCATCCTTCAGGCGTGAAAAAAAATCTTCCAGCTTCCATTTGCGGTGTTTTTGCTTCAGTCACTCGATGCTGTTGGGAATTGTTTAACATAATTTGTATGTCTGCAGCTTGGGAACGTTATCCTTTTTTAGCTGTGACTAACGGTAGACTCCTGTTTTTTTCATAGAATTTATTATTCGTACCACAAGCTTCCCATTTCCTAAAATGTAACCTGATGATTCAGCAGTCTGTCCTCATCCCCTCCTTTCTCTCGCAGACAACCTTTAATGTCTTCCACATTGCTCCCCCCTCACTGAGGCACAATGACCGAACGTATTGAATGTACATCAGAGAGGGTCGACTTCCGTAGCAGAATATCATTTCAGGGTTGTGACGTTTTAACATTGCAGCCAGAAAAAGCACTGAACTGAAGATCGGGTCTGGAGAACGACGGATATATCGGTGGCGAATCGACAGAATGTTACTGCAGTATATATCCCCTTATTGTCTAATAAAGGGGGATATTAACACAACATGGCAACCCTGTTCCCTTCTTAATACACAACCTGCGAACACTTGAACGGGCGACGCTGCTCAGATCTGGCGATGTTATTCCCTCTTCGTAAAGAAAAGCACAGCGAGTGTTTGGGCTCTTAAAGGGGGATGTTGTCCAAACATGGCAACCCATTCCTCATCTTTCAAACTGGATCATATTTGAATTTGGGGGGGGAGGAGGGGGGTGTTGAGCATTTTCTACTCTTCATGTATAAATAACTGGGTCTTAAAGAGGGGGATAATGCTCTAATCTGGCAACCGCTATAAAGTAAATAGTGTTTTGTTTTGCCTGGTTGACTAGAAAGGAACTAATTTGTATAGAAAGCGTTGTACTAATGCCGAGCACACACACTTTTATGTCTTCCATAAACACATGCCAAGCTGTGTGTGTGTGTAGTGTGGCGACTTGTACACACACAAAGGTTTGTTTAGTTGAAGCACAGCACATAATTACACTAGATTATTATTTTTTAAACTAATATGGGTCTCTGTGCTCTTTGTGTTGCTTTTTTTTTTTTTTTTTTCAAACTTGGGTGCAATAATAGCGTTAGAAACTGCAGCATTTTCTGTGTGTGTGTGTGTGTGTGTGTGTGTGTGTGTGTGTGTGTTGATTATGGCGCTTTATAAAAGGGATTCAAACCTTCGGTGTGTCAGAAAGGAATTTGAAGTCTTCCGCTTCCTCTCTGTTCCACAAAAGGTGGACGTTCGATCAGTTGCCATGTTTTGATTGACTGAGCGACATCGTGTGTGTGTGTGTGTGTGTTTCGGTCTGTGTGCATGCCGGCACTGTGAAATCAAGTGTGTGCATTTATGCAGATGTGTATGTTGTGTGTTGTGTGTGTGTTGTGTTTTTTTTTTTTCATCCATCCTTTGCTGTGTATCATTTTTAGGTGTTAGTAAGGGAATGGGGCCGTCGCTGTTGAATGTGCCTTTGCTGTATTATTTTTTCTTTTCCTGCCAATAAAGCAGCAACACTGTGGTGTTTAAACTCTGTACAGTAAAATGAGGAACTGACGAAAAAGAAAAGTCTTAACTCAACATCCACCTGCTAGCTTTTTTCCAGAGCTTTCAACCACATCTCACAGTTTGGAGGTCTGTTTGTTACTTTGTCTTTTCTGTGACACAAATTCTAATGCTAGGTGCCGTTATTTGCTTTTATCCAAGCCTCTAGAAACGGTAATTTTTGTGAAATTGATGACTGATCAGCAGCTCTGTCATACTTTAAAACCTAAAATGTCTTTTTTTTTTCAGTAAAATTAAAGTCAGAGTTAGGAATTATCTCTTAATTTCAAAGAAAAGAATTTATAATTTAGACATTTTTTCTTATATCTGTTATAAAAAAAGTCCCCAATAAATAAAATTCAAAATATTTAAACCTTTTTTGTTATTTGATCCATTTCAGTTTGTAGAAATAAGTTCTCTCCTTGTACTAAAGTTTAGCGTTTAGATTTTGGACATTCTTTCCAACAGAGCTCCGCCATTTGTTGAACTCCTTGCTCGAGAGCACTGCGGCAGCCACGAGGCATTCAAACTGACAACCCTCCGCTGTAACAGGTTCTCCAGAGTCCTCACACTGCAGATGTTGTTGCTTACTTGTTTGTTTTGTATTTTGTAAGCAGAAACCTTTGCTGAGACAGAAGCACTGTACGCGCTGTTATATTAAACCACTAATGAATGAAACTAAAGTAAAATACTAATAAAGTTGCAACAAATGCCAACAGACAAATATGGAATAAATGGAAAACTGTTGAGAATATTTTGTCCTGTCTTGTTATTTCATGAAGTTCAAGGTGATCTGATTGTTGATAGAGATCATGTTATCTTCTTATCCACCTAATTTATCTTGTTGTAGCATGTAAATTGGTACAGTATCAGTCGTTTGATCAATAAGTCCACTGACTACTTGTTCTGGTTAACTAAAAATTAACTTTTCTGTTATTATAAGTTGTGAACCTTAAAAATATTATTTTTGACCTTATTTCTTTCTTTATAATTAAGAATTATTCATTTATATTTTATATGATAAAATTCATTTTTTTAGACGGTAGTGGCCTTTTTAAAAGAAAATATGATAAGCAATGTTAAGAGAAACTTTCAGAGGCATTAAAAGGAATTCCTCGCTGACAGATTTGTTTGAATTTTACGTTATTAGAGCGCAGCTTTGTGAAGACTACCTACAATTAGTGCGGAGAGAAATAACCAGCCTTTACTGTGGCAAACACACAATGTAAAAATACTTTGTTACAAGCAAATATGCTGCATTAAAATGTTATTTTAAGTAAAAACACTTTATTATTGTCAACAAACTTCCTGAAAGCGAGAAAGCTGTGGTTAGCCTTTAATAAACTGCGGCTACAATGGCAATTATGAGATGATGTTAAATGCCAGAGCTAAAAAGCTAAAGTAGCACAGATGGATGAGAGTCTAAAATAATTGCAAAACACACGGTATATTTAAATAATATAAATTATATGAAAACTATTTATCTAAAGTTTTCTAACATTAGCCACTGTTAGTGGTCATAGCAGACCAGGTAAAGCTGTAGTGTTTTGATTTGAGCAATGCTGTTTTATTATTTAGGAATTCAACTTTCTAAGAAGTTACATAAAGTGCGTTTAGCATAGTTGCTTTAAGAATGAGTAGTAAGTAAAGAGACTCCTGATGCAGAGTATTATGTGATATTATAAGGTATAATTATTAACATGTAAGCAGCGTTTTGATGGCAGTGGTTGAGATGGAGCTGAATTCAACTTGGATCACGTGTTCTTTAAGTGAAATCAGAATATACAAAGTGACTAAAGCTGTCAAACAAAATAAATTACAGAACTTTGTTTTTCCTTCTTTTCTACCTCTTACATAATCCCAAGAGTTATTAGCTCCACCAGCTACAACACTATAACTGCTTAAACCATAATGCATTCACATCCTAATTTATTTATTTATCCTTATTTTAATTTTATCTAACATTTTAAGTAACACAAACTCAGTTTTTTAAGTTAAATAAGATTCTTGATTAGGCAGCTTTTAGGCAGCAAGTAATTTTAAGTGATACTAACTTAGTTTTATAAGTTACAGAAACATTCCTGATCAAGTACCTTTTACTTTGTATTTTGTTATACAAACAAAAATGACTAAATCAAGTCATTGTCACTTAAAATTACGAAAGCTACTTGATCAGGAATGCTTTTTTAACTTGTGAAATTTAGTTGGTGTTAATAAAAAATGTCTTTGCAATCAGTTACAGCATTTGAAGTTGAGTTGAATTAACTTACCTGGTTAGACATTGTGATAAAATATATAATAACATTTTGGAATAAGTCGGCTACTTTAACTTTTGATACTTTTAAGTACATTTAGCAAATAATACTTATGTACTTTTACTTCAGTAGGATTTTGAATGCAGCACTTTTACTTGTATATGTGAAAACTTCTGCACAAGTAAAGTTTTTATTTCCACCTTTGAAAAGAGCCAGCCTGGCCGATTCCAGTCTTTGTGCTAAGCTAAGTTTCCTGGTGCAGTACTTAAGTAAAAGTACTTAGTTACCTTCAAGCACCAGAAACAAGTGCGTCACTGACTTCACCTCCTGCAGAGAAACAACAGACAGAAATATAGTCAGAATAAAAGAAAAACTAATAAAAATGTATTCTGAACACTCGTCACCATCGCTCTCTCACCCACACTGCCCGACTCTCATCTTGGTGACCTTTGACCTTTCAGACAGCAGGGGCATCTGCTGTGAGGGATGTGATTAACGAGGACTTTGTGTGTGTGTGTGTGTGTGTGTGTGTGTGTGTGTGTGTGTGTGTGTGTGTGTGTGTGTGTGTGTGTGTGTGTGTGTGCTGGCGCTGCAGGTGGGAGGTGTGTGTGTGTGTGTGTGTGTGTGTGCTTGTTCAGTGGAGGGTAGCGACTCGAATCCAAAGCAACACAAACTCTCTGCATGCTCCAGGTTTCCTCTGTGTGTGTGTGTGTGTGTGTGCGTGTGGTGTGTGTGTGTGTGGGGGGGGTGTGTGTGTGTGTTCCCAGCAGTCTATAGAGAGGCGGTGAAGCGCTCAAAGCTTAGGGATGCCTCACAAAAACCTCCCTCTCTCTTTCCGTTTTCTCTTATTTCTTTTTTTATGTGGCCTTTTCTGAACTTTCTGAACCCTCTCCTCTGCAACATTTCCAGTTTTAAACATTTTTCCTGAAACATTCATGCACTGATTACTGATTATTTCCCTCTTTTATTCTTAAAAACAAGAAGCATCATCTAATGAAAGCTGCAGATTTCTTGTGGCTGGTGTCGACTCAGCCGGCTGTCACTTTATCTCATCTTAGGAGGAGCTGACTCGGCGGATTTTGGTTCCTGGTTTTGGTCTATTTTTTTCAGCAGCAGTGGCAGCTGTTTGCAGGTCACAAGCGGGTTGTCCTGTTTTGAAATTCCTGATAGAATCTGTCACAGCTGGCTACAAGCTGACTGCTGCATCACATTTGAAAACGTTTGTGCTTGTTTAAAGCTGCTACCTGTAATACAGCTGCCTGCACTGGTATATCTTAAAGCTGCAGTAGCTTTAAGTAACTTTTATAGAAAATACTTTTTATCAAAAAGAAAACAACCGATCAGAGCCGAGAAAGAAAGAAAGATGCTCTGGGTTGGTGGCTTGAAGATGGTTGATTGTTGAGTTTCATTCTTCCCAGTGTCGGTATTTGAAGACCTGGGAATGACCTCAGCAATCAGCTATCTTTCTTGGCTCTGATTGGTTGTTTTCTTTCAGGCCCGGTGGATTCTTGCAAATGCCATTCATCACGAGCCAGAGCAACCTGAGTTTTTCATCAGGATAGAGTGAAAAGTTTCAGAAAATATTACAAAAAGATATTTTTATAAAAGTAACCTACAGACTTTAAGACTTTAAGATTTCTGATGCCACACAATAGTCAGGTTTCCATTCAAATAAAGTGCAAATTTTAACCAAATTTACTGAAAAGTTGCAAGAGAAAATGCAAATTTAAATGTGTTTCCATCCACTGCTGTTGTATGAATATATTTTAAGGATATATTGCCCTCTGGAGTCGGTGGAGACCAAAACCAGAGCTAAAAGGAGAGTGAATATTAGACTTGGAGTCATCAGGTGGACATAGTTGGACTCCAAATGAATGCTAATGTTGCTCTGTGTCTGCTGGATGTAAATACGTTTGCTAATAAGTTGTAATAATAATAATAAAGTGCTAATATTTCAGTGTTGTATTGACATTTTGTTTTTGCCAAATGTAGTGGCGTGAAAATGTTGCTATGCTGCATTTTATTCTCTTATTATTTTGAAGAGGATTCATTACCGGAGGTTTACTTAGATTGATTTACTCCTTCCATTAATTTAGAAGAAACTCTGAAGCTTATTTAAGATATTTTTTTTGTTTTATGCTGTGAAGCAGTTGAGGAGATTGTCCAGGTGACTGACCCGAAGTCATACTAACTTTTGAAAACAAAGTAGAACCAAAAATAAAATGCTAATGAGGTACGTTGAGCTCTAATTGCTGATTTGCTTCAGGTAGCGTTGAGACATCGTGTTCCTTCCTGCAGGATGAAAACAATGTGCCCCAGTATCAGAGAATCTAAAGCCCTCGTTATTCTTTGAACTGTTTACTAGCTGGCTTAAAAACTCTCCCCAACTCAAGCTGTAATGTAAAAACCCAACGTCTGATAAACTGCACGAAATATTAACTTTGAAAGATGAAGTGAAGGAAACAGAAGAACTGGAGAGAAATAAGAGGTTTGGCAGCAAAAGAAAGGTGAAAGTTCAAGGCTTTCTTTAGGAGTGTGTGTGCGATTAAAGTGTGTCAATGAGCACATTTGTCCAATCATTTCAAAGCACACACAGTTTGAGTATTACAAGATGTGTTATAGTACGATAACAGAGCACGAGCTCCAGCCTGTGTGTGTGTGTGTGTGTGTTATCTCATTATAACTCGTCCGACAGTGGTGTGTCTCAGATTCTTGCGGTCTGGCAAGTGTGAGAAGAAGCAGATCTCTCTTTTAAACACAGACACACACACCAGAGCATCCAATAAAGCAATCTTCACGTTTCCTCTGCTGTCTTTTGTCTTTTTAAGAAGAGCCAAACACATCAAGAGCCTGGATAAAGCAGCTATATATACCTATATATATAACAGATTTATGGGTCTGTGTATGAAATCCTTTCAAAACTGCTACCAGGACAGAATCCTTACACATGAATTCAAGAGGATATGATATATTTGCTCATATTTCTATCAGAGAGGATCAGGATTTCTCTGAAATTTAGATGACATTTGGTGTAACGTTGGGCTTTGGAATAAAGAACAGCTGAGCGGTTTTTGGTGTCAGTCAAGGATTTCCTACCATTCATAGTTTTTGGTTTGTTTTCACAACTGTTGTCATGAACTCCTGCATGTGTTTAAACGGATATAATGCATTAGCCTATTGGTGCATTTAAATTAAAAATGTTGGCCCCACTTTCTATTAAGTCAACCTTTATAAATGGTGTTTTCCTTCCTTCCTTTCCTTCTCTCTGTTCTTACTAATAAAATAATGAATAATACTTCCATTGAATTCTCTTTATCTGGCACTTAGTGACACATTTTTAGTTATCTTCCTCTTTCTATTGCTTTTTTTTGTTGAAAGATGTCTGTTTCTTCTTCAGCTTCTTTGTTTCTTTAAATGTTAAAGAGAATATTTTAGTATAGGAAACGTTTTACAATTTACTTCTGAAGTCATGTCTTAAAGTAACCTTTTTATTTATT